TTGGCAGATGGTCCAGAAGTGGTTTGCCATTGCCTTCTTCTGTGTGTGCATGGAGTAATTGTTGGGATGCCACGGAGAATCCGGGGAAGTCCCCGGAGGAAAACTCCGTGTTGCCTAGACCACGGCCTTGCCCAACACAAGTTATAAATTCGGGCACCGCCGGGAATCGAACCCGAGACCCCAGGATTACAAGGCCAGCGTTCTAACCGCTAGACCACAAAACACAGAAACTAAAAAAAGGATTTGTATAAATGAAACTTATAGCTGAAGGGTGACTGCATTAGTATTTGAGCTTCTTTTCGAATGTCACAGGGAACTTTATACGTTTGACAAAATAATTTAACGCGGAGTTCTCAGAACGTACCCACTTGAGATATGGCATATCAGCGTGTGTCTAATCGATTGATGAGCATTTTAAAATAATCTGTTATGCTCACTTCACTAAATAGCACCTCTGTGTATTTCTAGCATGTTTTGGAGTGAGCTTATGTATGCCATAAAAGTGCATAAACTTGTTTCAAGATGTAACCACGATAAAATATCACGACGTATCAAATTCCTTACTTACATTCAATTATATGGCACGTGGCAATTGAAAAAGGGGAATCAGTGATTACATCAACAGTACGACAATCAATGCCCAATCCCATCACATAACATAGTTTTAATCCGACACTTGAAAGAAAGAACGGATGGAATAAATTAATCAATAACTGAATGAATATATAATTTTATTGATGTAATATACCTCACAAAGAAGACGGTCTGAATATAAACACAGCTACACCAAAATTCAGTATTTTATAAACCACATTGCCAACCTGAATTAGCCTCGAGACTTCGAATTTGTTTCTGTTTTCAGTTATTTGTCATTTTGTACTGAGACCATTCTTGGACTCACTGGGTATAAGACGAAAACTTCAGAAATTTTCAGAGTTAAATACTGGAAACGTGAAAACGTTTATCACTTCGCCTTCCTAGGTATCTGTGCAACGTTTTGAATGTCCGTCTTCCTTAGGATTTGTGGACCTAAGTACCACATTCTTAATAATGTGATAAAAAGTAAGAATGGAATATTTAACGTGTGCTCTAAATCAAGGGTTCTCACCCTTTTCTAATTTAGCGCATTAAATGTACCACTGACCAAATATGTTCAGGGAAAACTTATGTTAATATTATATTTTGATTTTCTTACTTAGTTCGCGTACCACTCAACATTGGCTCGCGTACCACCAGTGGTACTCGTACCACTGGTTGGTAAACGCTGCTCTAAATGAAGCGAAGTGTCCAATTTCGTTTGAATTAACTCATGCATAAAATAAGAAACTCAAAGTCATATACGCGAACATACAAACAGGTACAACCATCCGTCGACTTACGGACCGAATTCGTTGGATGAAAACTATGCGTAAGGTGAGAATTCGTAATTCAAAAATGAAATTCCTATTAATTTAAATGTAAAAAATTCTGACTCATTCCCAACTCCCCGAAAAACCACCGAGTATTTCCCCCCCATGCGCGCGCACTCATCTTTATTATATTCCAAGGGCCCATAAGTTAGTCAGATGACAATAAGATGTGGAATAAAAATTAATAACACAATACATATTATATTTATAGTATGAACTATATATATATAGTTCAGACTATAATAAAATTTCACATATTATAAACAAAGTGTTCACATAATTACCCATTATATACAATAAATTAATTACACTTCCCATTTATATTAAATGAAGACAAGAAACCTTACTGAACATTATGATTTGTTTGTGAACATTATAAATTCATCAACAGCGTAAAACGAGTGTGTAAATAAGTATATTTTTAATGATGCTTTAAATTGTGCCTGTGTATTTAGAAGACTCATGAGACTAAATTTCGAATTTTGATGTCTGCATAACACACTCTTATACAAACATGAGAGTTATGTAATTGGCCTAGGAAACTGATTTTTATTCCTTGTGTTGAGACTGTGAACAGCAGAATTTATTTGAAAACGTTCTTGGGTTATTAACAATAACATTTATTAATATAAATATGTATTCATACGAAAGAGCTAATATCTCTAACCTCTTGAATAGACTTTTACATCAATTTCTAGTTTTGACATAATTTTATTTTGTAAAGTGAATGACTTTTTGCTACTAGATTAATTATAATAAAAAATTATCCCATACTTCATTATGGAGTGAAAATAGACAAAATAGATCGATTTTAGTGTGACTGCTGCTTACATGCGACACAGATCTACCTGCATAACCTGCTCCACTAAATCAGGAATCATCTATCAATACAATTGGTTCAATTTTGGTGGTTATCAACTTGCAAAGTCAGGAATTATTTATTTACTAAATCTTCCCATTATAACCAACACTTAAAATATATTGTGGTGGATTATTTGTTATAAAACTTATTATATTTGTTTTATCTAGATGCAGGGTGAGCTTATTAGCAGTAAACTATTTATTCACATGAGACAGAACTGTGGTGTTGGATAGAAATCATCAAAATCTTTAATATAAATTATGACACTAGTGTCATCAGAAATGTTATGGGTCATGTTAATGTATTTATTGTTGGATGAAGGTCATTATATGTATTATGAAAAATAAGGGCCTTAGAATTGGGAAACTCCATATTTTACATTCTCAAATTTGAGAATAAATTTTTGGGCGATTCTACTTCAAACTTTTGTTTTCTTCCTGTTAGACAGGATATGTAGTTATTCCTTGAATGCCATAAAAATATAATTTACTCAACAAAATTTCATGATTTACAGCCGAAAGCTTTACCTAAGCCACAGAAAGTTTTTCCCACATACATTTTTTGGTTAACAGATTTTAGTGAACTGTCTGTTAGTAAGAAAGCCACACCCTCAGTGGATACACTTTTCTTGAAGCCAAATTGTTCTTAGTATGCATGACTTAAGTACTTTGGAAAAAGCAATTAATGACACTGGCTAGTAGTCTGTCATACTAGTCTTGTCACATTTCTTGTAGTGGTCTCATTAAAGCAGTTTTTGGATGGTCTGGGAAAATTCCTGTGTATTGTAGTAATTACAAATGTGGGATATTGGGTGATTATGCTTAACAAGCTATTAGAATTTTACTACTTTCATCATAAACTCATGAGTGTTTCTTTTTTGGGGGGATTTACTATAATTTTTATCTCAGTTGCTGTGGTTGGTTTTTGTAAATCTTAAAAGGCATATTACACCTTTGAGCATATAACAAATGAGAAAATTACAATTAGTTCAATGTAAATATGCAACGTACTTACCATCACAAGCGAAATTTGAAGTTTTCACGGCTGTGACAAAAATGATAGTGTTCTGTTTCGGCGTCATGTGGACTGGTCGCTGTGCAAACGTTTCGGAGAAAGCAGTCTCACGTCTCAATCTACATTTTTCCAAAACGTTGGCGTCTACCGAGCAGTCCGAACGGCGCCAAACCCTGAAGAACATCACTGCCCTCATATGCTTGCTACGTTATAACATTGTTCCTTTGCGAGTGCAGTCTTGTAGAAAATTACTTACATGAAAGGGTACCGACTTACGCCTCTCGTGAAAATACAGAACTGCCATTTAAAGGTTATACGCATGCAACGATACAGTAAACACGAAAATGTCGTCCCATTTTCAGAGCAGCCACTTTTCGGGGATAATTTAAAACACTACAAATTAGAAGGCACTGTCTGGTATGGACTTAAAAGACTGGGAAATTCCCTGCAAGAAACAGATTATTTACCTCCATGACACGGGGCTCATGGACAATTTTTTACATGCAGTACGCAGTTCTTAGCACAAGCTATTTTACTAGGTAAAATGCAGCCACCCGACTAGAGATTTGCCTAACAGAGCATAAGCAGATGTGGTGGCAGAGATAAATGCCTGCACCTATCTGTAAACAAATCCTATTTGCCCAGTAATAGGTAATCACTTTACTGAGGTAAAGGAGAATTTCAAAGCATTTGCTAGACCAACTGACACGTAGTACCAGTGAGTCATATACTTTCTGCAAACAAAGTTAATGGGCACAATAACCATCACACTTTTACACAATAAAAAATCCTTAAGATATACAAGCTCCAACATGCTTGTAAAGATGCAATAAGTTTAGTAACGTCTACATTTGGGAACAAGGTAGGGTTGACAATTCCATCTCCTTTTTAGGTCTATGTTTACTACTTTGATCCTGAACATTAATCATTACAACCAGAGCTGACAAGTTACATATAGCCTCAACAGTTCCAACCACCTCCCAAACAGCTACTTAAATGGTGTCATGTACTTACTACTGTCCCACATGCTTACTTTCAAGGTACTTTCCTAATCAAAATTCTGAATGCAATTCTATCTATATATCCAACACATACCTTACTAGCATTAGGTGTTCATTAACCTCAAAGTTCCTAATTATGTAATATCCTAAACTGAATACATTTCATCTTCCTTCAACCCAACGTAGTCCACAAGCCAAGTACCTAGCTAATAAACAGAATGCTGGCCACAGCCAATACATTCTGCATGACAAGTACTTCCTTTCATCACAATCATTCAGATTAGCAGGCACAAAATGTTTGTTCTTCCCTCAAACCATGTCTCCCACCCACTCTGTAAAAGCTGCAATGTTAAGTTTAAAATTATATTAAAAGCAATTGTCAAATTCAATGTAATTAATTATTCAAAACCAGCAGCAAACAATGACATTCAACTACAACCTTGATTCCAAAATTACAATTCTCATTCATGCCTACCGATTCTGATATTAGCAATTAAATCCTGCAAAACAATGACAGGCATACACTCATACAACACAAAATCACATGTGCAGTAAACTGACAATGAGGAAAAAGGATGAGGAACACATGAAAAAAACACAAGTATGAATGTGCAGTCTTTTATTTGTAACACCTGCTCTCAAGTTTCTCTTCAGACAGACTCCTGCACCGGAGGTTCATATCCCTCAGGACGGTCTACCTTTGCACCCGGCTCGTCACTTCCACCTTTTCCATCACCATGTAGCTCCAGCAATTTTGATAACTCAAATCGAGGTTTCTTAAGCACCTTGACCTGGAAAAGGTAGGCTCCCATATTAACAAGGGTGAGTATATATAATATTGTACTAAATGACTCAGAATAAAAGATACTTTTAAACAGTGTGGGGACAGTCCTGAGCTCAACAAGCTACAATCATATCGATACACAAACAAGAATATTACTTTGTGAAGCCTAAATACACATCACACAAAAAGCAAGACAATGGCAACTTCAGCTGCAGTTTATTAAATTCAGAAGACCTCATAATTTTTACGGCATGTAAATAAAAATATAATAAAAACCAGAGTGATGACATGCAAAATGTAAACAAGAAAAATAACCTTACTTCCAAAGGAACAGAAGTGCTCAAGCAAACATAACAATGAAGGACCAGAATGAGTCAATGTATTTAATTACCTGAGCTGCAATGTATCATATTAATGATCCAAAGACACTGAAATTAAACCACGTTATTCTTACTGTCTTTCTTTTCCTAGGCTAGTTCAAGTTCAAAGCAATGTTATTATGTAACTTTTCTTTCATAAATTTTTATATATGTAGAGACAAAGTCATACACAATTTTTACACTACTGTCAATTGTCACCATGTCCGTGTTCACAAACCATAGCAAACACATTGTTAGCGACTGTTTCTTGGCAGCAGACATATGGCACTAGCATGAAAACAAAACAAACCATTATATACGAGACATCAGAGCACTTGATAACATAGAAGTATACACATAACCATAAAAACACGATCAACCAATGGGTCCAGATTAACTCCTGTAGCGATGTTGCACCATTAGATTTCTGTGTATCCTGACACCTGCTAAATTAAAATTACGTTGAAACAATTAACTAAATTTAGAAACCACACTTTGTTGCATTATGTGGGGCAAAAGATGAAGGCTGTACTCTTTCAATACCAGTCGTGGCATATGGAGACAAATGATAACTTTCATACAACTTACCTTACGGATATAGACATCATGCAGAGGGTAGATGCCTTGGCATGCCTTCTCAATATCTTTAGCAATGGAGTCTGGAAGAAGCTTGTTCACAACCTCCTTCAGGTCACTAGATGTAATGTCACGAGTGATGATTTCCACCATCTTCTTTCGGATTGCTCGTACCTATTATCCATGCAAAGAACATGTACCAATTTTACTTGCAGTCTTTATTTACACAATCAGGCATTCATAATTAAACACTCCTGAATTTTGTACTCTGCAAAACCACAATCAAGAAACATTTATCAGGGTTGCAAATAAATATCTTAAATTGATCAACCATTTAGCCAGTCACACTGGCCGTGTAGTCCGAGGCAGTCAAGGCTTGGATGTTTGTCCACATCTTTCCATGATGTGCTGTCCTGTGTACAGGCAGATGCCTTGCGATGGGCTGATCACTCATCTAAGGAGTCCTACCAAATGTCTAAATAGATAAAGAAAACTCCAAAAGGAGGGCACTATGCTCCACATGGGAGTGAAAATGGTACAAAGAGAAACAGAGAGAGAGCAACCATTTCATATTAAATGTTTTATTTGTAATTTCATGAACTAGTATGAACAGTTTGTTACAATAACACGACAAACATTCAAGTTACGTCCACCAGACTTTTGGCTTGCTGTGAATTGTCAGCCAGCTGTTTTCAGAACCCTATGGCTGTGACACAAAAACACAGAAGCAACAACCTTCCACGCAAATCATGATGGATGACGAGACACTTACATAAAAAGTGAGTTTGTTGGATAGGAATGCAGTCGATAAGCAACCAAGGTGAACAAAAAGGAGCAACGCAGCAGTTCAAAATTTGATACATGACATTCAGACCTCATGAAGAGAACATTTAATAGCACTGTGGAATCTAGGCAGGAGACTGAATGTGCAAGTTTTGAGATTCATAGCTGTAAATAACTATCATCAAGAAAATAATTATTTATAAGAATAATAAATCTGTATTTCAGACAAAGAACCCATTAAGTTAAACAGTGATTTATTGTTACAATAACCACTTTAGTATTAACAATGGAACTGGTTAATCTCAATGTTTTGTGGATTGAAAGTAATGGTGCTCAATTTTAAGAACAAATTTGGAATATGTAAAAGGATATTTTAAAAGGACACTGGAAAGCCCGCACATACCAGTATGCCACAAACCGCATAACAGGTTTTTCTCAAACCTACTGTCAAAAGCACCTTAAAAAGATGACACGACACATACTACACTTGGCATAACAGTTCTGTGTTTGACAAAGTTTAAGAACTTACATGATGATGCACAAAGGCTCTATTATCGATAACTGAACATGCAGTACACTAAGAATTAAATCATCAGACTGAGTATATTTTCTGACACTTCCCAAACATACTTATATTAAAGAGAACAGTAAGCTACAAAATTCTGCAACAAGTTCATAATTTATCAACTCATATTCATTGCACTTTTCCTACCATACCTGTGTATGCTGAGCATAGCAAGTCTTTCTTTGTGACATTTGGTCCTTGTTGGTGAAACCAATGCAGAACACTCTCAGTAAGTAGCCATCAGTAGTTTTCACATCCACGTTAGCCTCAATCAATGTCTGGAAAAGAGATGTATGAAAACAATGTATAGTTGAACCCCATCACAATACCACACTTCGCCCATCAACACTGGTATTAAAGCTGGGTTAGTGGTAAAGTAAAAATGTTTGGAAATAGTTTTATTTATTAATGTATTAAAATGCTATGAATAGTGTAGATTCGATCTTGAGGATAGAAGAAAAGGCAAACCTGTAGAGCATGTTTCCAAACTTCTATAACAGTACCATCTCGGCAACATCCATCTTTACTACCTCATTCTTGGAGCAAAATACATTCCAGTTACAGTGTACAAAATATCATTTAAACATTCTAAGCAACCTGGACTCACCTGCCATTTTTTAACCATTGATCGAAGTTTATCTGTGGTCAGATCCATACCATGGAAATTTGTGAGCACATTCCTGCCCTGCACATCTTCAGCAATCAGACGGAACTTACGGAACGAACGTTCAGCATCATTATCATTTTGCAGGTCAGCCAAAGACACTTCAAACACTCTGTATTTCAGGCCCTCGGATGCAATCTCTGTATGAACCAAACAACTTTACAACACACAGAACATCTTTAGCATGAACCCGTAGACCTCTAAAAATGTGCCTACCCACTCACCATACAAAATAATATGACAATGAGTATAAAAATGTATGTATGAATCACTGCAAGACTAAGCAAATGATTCTGTTAAAGTGGTTTGTGAATTCATGTTAAATTCCTGGAGCCCTTTGACAATTGGTGACCTAGATTACATTTTCTGTACATACCATTTGTACTTACAGCAACCCACAATTACACAGTAGATATATCAAGTCTTACCGAACTCTCTCAATTCGTTCTAGAACAGCAATTCTGCCACGGTAACTGAACGTTAGAGGAAAAAATAAAACTTACTTGTTCCTTGTGTACGATTCACTAGAGTTTTGCCAATCTGCCGAGTGGCAAACATTGACGGTGCCTTCACATCGTACCAATCTTTTCTTGTGAATGGATCAACGCTAAAAATTGTTTAAATTTTCATGAGAATTCATAAACAGCACGACGAACATACATTGTCTGTTATTAACGTTATATCAATTACAATACACATGATCTGTTACTAAGGTTATGATATAACAATTACAATCGCCACACTCTCAAACCCAAAAATATTACAGGGTAAACTATTGAACGAACTTGGAAATGTTTTCATTGTAACTCTAAAATATACAAATACAGTCTGAAGCAACGTGTTACTATGGCTAATACGCGGGTGAGATCCTACGTATAGAATCAATGTTTATCTGGCACATCTGTTCCATAATACAACTGATTTAATCACAGATACAGCTAGATAAAGATATAAAAAAGTGCGTGATATTATTTTACTCACATCTTCTTTTTCACTCCCTTCTTTCCACCCTTCGATAATCCCTTATTTTTACCGACTGCCATGACCACACATTAACTTCAACGTAGAGATCACAGATGTATAAATAACAAGCGGCTAGCACAGAAAATACCAATCTATACAGGAAAGCATAAACCGGAAAAACAAATTCTATACAATACATCGATGTGATAAATCGATTGATGCTCATGAAGTAAATAAAAATATGGTTGTCCGTTGGTATTAAAAAAGTAACATTAATTTTAACTGAGAAGATTTATAACTATCCAGAATAAATTAAACTCGCCATCATGTGAAGATATTTGGGTACTTTCTCCTAACTAAAGAAGAATACATCGATAGTTATCGACCTTATATTACACCAGCATGAACCAGCTGATGAAACAAAATAATTAAAATAAAAAGACTAGTGTGTTTATGTTCTTTTAGAATTATTTACTTAGATTACAGCTATGATGCAGTGATTTTCTGAATAATATCGAAGGTTCGTCGCTGGGAACCAAGAACCGTTACGATGAACTTGCAGTCTTTATTTCAGGATTTTAATCCAAGGTGAATTCCAAGCAGTAAAAATTTCCCTTTGTCAAAAGCTTGCTCTAAACCGCTCTCGTATAAACTTAGAATATACTTCCCAAACCTACTTCATATAATATGTTTACAAGGAGTATTACTACAAAGTAAATGCAGTAGTATATAATCTTATAAGCTAATTTATGTTGCAATCTAAATGTAATTGAGTTATGGTGTGTAGTGGGGTAACTGAGCTTATTTTCATGACATTTGTTTCAGCAAGTTCATAGTACATGTCTGTCTGATGATTTTTACTGCTTTGTTTGCACTTCGTCTTGATGGCACTGTCCATTGGAGTTACTGGACCGTTTTTATACCTATTTGGTTTTGGAAGTTTATGGTTATTGCTGGTGCTACAGTTGGAAGTTATGTATGGTGGAGATACCCACATTTTAGGTTGGTATATATTTCATACAGTTTTGTGTATATTTGAAGTTAATATACAAATACTTGTTATTCATTACTTTGTGCTACTGTTACAGGCTTGAAGGTGAAGCATATGTTCATTACAAAGCAATGCTCATAAGTTTAGCACTACACCTTATTCTGCTAATGTTTGAGCTATTAGTTTGTGACAAATTGGAATCTGGTAGACATCTTTGGATCCTCGTATTTATTCCCTTGATATTTATTTCAATAGTATCAATTGCGGTTTGTATTTGGGCAGTAAAACATGATCGATCTTTTGAGGTATGTATTATAGTACATATAATCTTATATGTTAATTTTAGTGATCAAATTGGAATTTGCAGTTAGTAATGTTTAATTTTGTGGTTGGTGTCAGTGGCTGTATCAGTCCACATATTCCTTTTATTGTGTGAAATATATTGTAGTGCCATAATTATTGACAGATATCACCTTCCCATATTTTGCAACATTCAGATATAATTATTAGGCTTGTTCTTCAGATGAGGGCCAGATATTATGTTATTATTACACATTCATACTTAACTGAACCATTTTTAAGATTGCCAGTGAGATGAGGTATATGTATATAATTCAAAGTGGGGCAGGACAGAAGTATAAAAAGTAAAAGGAAGAAACTGTGCTAGTTAGAGGTATTTAAGTTTAGTTTTATTACTTTGTGATTCAATCTAAAATACTACTTGACATATTATTTCATTATATATAATGGACTACAGAAGGTTAAAACTTGTATGATGAACTTACTTTCTTTGGTTTTTTCCTCCAAAGTTGGAGTTATTCTGCTCAGTGAACATTCTTCAGTTCATCTTCTTGGCCCTGAGACTTGATGGATTTATCTCTTGGAATTGGGAGGTAGTATTTGTGCCTCTTTGGATTCTTATGTGTCTCTCTTTGGTGGGAGTTCTGTACACTGTCATCTTTGCTGGGATTTTACTAGTAGCCCCTGAAGTGGATCCACAACAGAGACGCACTTCCTTCAACAGTGCACTTGGATACACTTTCCTTGTCATGCCCATACTCATTTTTCAGGTATGTACTATAGTTTTATATTTTAACAGATTCAAAAGTAGCAACTGTGTAACCACATCTGTAAAGTAAATATTGTACAATTTTGTTCTAGGTGCTGCTAGCAAGTAAATTGGATGATGACATCTCTCTGAGTTATATTGGTGTGGTGTCACCATTGTTTTTGACTTACTGTACTCTCATCCTTATGTCTTTCAGTGCTAAAGGTGGGAACAGGTGTAAGTATTTGGCATTTGTTATGAAGAGTGTATGGGTATGATTTTATTCAAGCTGGTAGAAGTTTGTCTAGCCAGGCTTTAGGTACACATTTGAAACATGCTTACTTTCTTGATTAATTTTAAAACTACAGAACATGAAAAGCATCTCTTATAGATGCAGTGAGGCTTCTATATAATGAACCTTTATTTATCGTAACTACATGGTATAACTGATGGAAATGAAATTATGCTTATGAGCCATTTTCACAGTGGTGTACGATCAAAAGCAACCATCCTATTGGCTTAATATCTTTGACAAAAGAACTGCTGCAGAATCAAGTAGTTGCTAGGAGGTTTTTATTATACTGACATTGCAGTATGTAATTACTGAATTTTTAGAACTTTATTCTAATGTCATATATTTTCTTCCCAGGGTGGTTTGGCATCCGCAAAGATTTTTGCCATTTCCTGCTAAGTCTTTGTCCATTTCTCCAAGAATATGCTAATATAGCTTACAGTCTTCAGGGTGAAGAGGGAATTCGAAGGGGACACAGTACTCCTGAGGGCATGGTCGATCCTCTATCATTAGATGTAAAACCAGAAAAGAAGTTTAAAAAGACTGAATTGCTGAAACCTGTAGTACCTGTAATATCAATTGACATGCCAGACTGAGGTATGAATGAAATTGCCACCACCTCTTTACTAAATAAATGAGGATGAGGTCAGATGGTTTTTGTGATACTTAGTATGGCTGTTTACAATTTTAACATTTTTATCGAGTACAGATATTGGCATATTATTTGTATAGTTTAAGGGCCTGTGTAAAATATATATTTGTACATATACTTTCATGACTGTAGATTATTTGTTTGTATACATTTGTTATTGCAGTTTTATTCTGTAGCCCTGTTAGAATTACATAGATGAGCAAATTTACATATGCAGTAAAACCTTGCTAAGCTGGATCCTTCTCAAAAATCATAGCAAGTTAAAACAGGAGTATTTTTTTTCATGCTGTCCTTATGAAACAATTTGTTCAGTTACGAGGCCAATGAAGTTCATAATGTAGGGTTCCAGTTAAATTTGCCCCTTCACAAAGACTAGAAGGATGTAGTGGCAGGGGACAGTGAATTGAAAGAAACGTTGGAGCTGGTTCTGACATCAAGTTTGGAAGCACAAGTTTTGTATGTATGTCAGATATAACCATAATATCTTCTGAAATATGCTCCAAAATCATGGAAGGTGACTCAAATTGACTAAGTACTGTATTTAAACAGTATGCATTATTACAATTATCATCATTTATATCACTTCATTAATCTGGATAATTGCCTCTTCTGGGTCACTACAGTACAATGGTCCAAATAAGTGAGGTTTTACTGTAATGTAGTTTCATCATATAAATGAGATCTGAAATTTTCATGGCAACGAAAATGTGGACTGTCTTCTGAATTGTGTTGGTGTAACCTTGCACGTGGTTTAAGACTACATGATGACACAAACCACAAGACCACAATATACAATTTCATTGTATAAGTTTGTGGCATATTATGTAAATAGTTTAGTTCTTAAGGGGAAAACAAGGAAGATCTCAATTGTGATGGAAAGTTAAACCCATTATGGCCTTATACTGTTTGGTTTGTATATAAAAATCTGAAAATAAGCTCCACAGCTGAAGATACAGCAGTTTGTCCTGCAACTTCAGAAAGCTTCAGGCACTAATATTGTTGAAATTTTATAAAATGTTCTGAGGATAATTATTTTCCATTTTTTCCATTTCATGTAATGTTGTTTACATAGATTAAATTACATGCATAATTGTGTTTGTATTAATTTTATAAGATTAACTATTCACTTTAAAATGCTAGCAATTGGATCAATTGCAGTACCAGCACTAAGATAGGATTTTGGAATTATTAACTGGCATCAAGAAATATAAAAACTGGACAGAAAGACAATAAAAATGCTACCATCCACAGCTCAACCAAATGCAGACATTCTTCACTTATGTGCTCCAAGAAAAGAGGACTGATGTAGGTGGAAGGAGCCTACATAGCAGAAATTATTAAATTGATGTAATATGTAGAAAATGAAGAAGATCCACCGATACAAATTATAAGGACACAACCTACATAACACAAATTCAACATTGCCACAAAGAGCTAACAAATTTAAGAAATCATTTCAAAATGAACAAAGCAAATAGAAAATATACTAGTTGAGAATAGAAAAGAAAAAAGGATGCATGAACAGTTCCATGTAACTTGGATGAAAATGTGGTGGATAAGGAACAGCTATGCCAGTGGCTGAAGCATGGAGACATTAAGGGAGAAACAGAAAGTACAATTGTGGCAGCTCAGGATCAGGCAGTCAGCACAAACTACCTTAAGAAAAACATTTGACAGAAAATGAAAGTAGATGTTGACTACATAAAGAATACAAAGAAACTATTGACCACCTAACATCAGGATGTCCCATTCTGACAAAGGATGAATAAATAATAAGACGATAAACTTTGTACACATATACTGTACTACTACTCTACACACTACTCAGTATGTGAACATGAAGATACAACAGTACTGTGGATTAAGGCATACAAACAAATAAGAGGTTCTGGAAAATAGGCTTGACATAGTAATTAAAGAAGGAAGAAGAAATAATAAAGGATTGTGGTGGTTAATGCTGGTCACAGTGGCCATGCAGTCAGGTATGGACCTTGTGCGCTTGGAGACTGGGACTGTGGGTTCGAATCCCACTCAAGGCATGGATGTTTGTCCACGTCTTTCTGTATTATGCTGTCCTGTGTAGAGGTAAAGGCCTTGCAACAGGCTACACTCATCCAAGGAATCCTACCAAATGTGTAAACAGATAAGTAACCTCCAAATGAGGTGGCCAAGAAACACACTGGGTTGTAGAGCAAGAGATGAGATGGTGGTTAATTCATTACACCACAGTTATTTGGCTAGCCTGTTGTCTGAGGTATATTTGATGTACATTATACTCGGTAATTCCACTTGCCTTTTTCATTGCTTTTATTATTGATATTTGCAGCAGCATTCAGGATCCTACCTGTGAGACCCCTTGAATACTGATTTGTGTTTTTGCCATTTGATTGTGTATAATAGGAGAGATTTTCACATTGGCAAGTATGAAGATGACTGTCTTCTGGAATGCTATTCCATGTAGCCTCTGAAACATTGGTAAACTTATCCCAGGCTACATGGCACAGCTTCCCAGAAGATTGTCATCTTTGTTGTATATACAAAATGTATAACAGAAAATAGACAATGGGCAATACAGCTGTGCGCACAAGCCAGTGCCGTGACAGCAATTTTAGCATTCATTAGTAACAGTGTGAAGTAATATCATGGATGGAGTGAAAAGTTTTGTCTTTGCTTCTCCTACCTGACCATATTCCCCAACAAATCCAAGAATACAAAGGGATCATTGTCATCATCATCATGGGCGCTACAATCCAGGTTGGGTTTTGGCCTGCTGAAGACAATGCCTCCATCGGGAATGGCCAGGGGCGATGTTTTTCCAGTTTTAATACTGATGTTGTGGAAATCTTTTTCAAGTCCATCAATCCATCACAACTTGGATTTTCCATGTCTTCTTGTACCATCAGGTTTTCCTAGCATTAATTTCTTTGTGGTCTCTTCATCATTCATTCTGGAAATTTCAACATCATTATACAGGTCACTGAAGAAAAGGTGGTTAGCAATGAAGTATTTTTATAAAATTTGGAGAGGAGGATACCAAATACGAGGCGCGTCCTCAAAGTAAGTTTCCCACTCGTCCCACAGCTAGCAAACCTTATATTGCGCGAAGCGACTGTGCGTACGTGATAGAGCAATGACGTAGCATGGCACATGCACTAACGGCACCTCCCGCGTTCTCACAGTAGCATCGTTGCAGCTGTTGAAGATGGAGGTTCTTATTCCAGCTCCCGCCGACTGTGAAGTGCGGTCAGTGATAACGCTAGGCCGCACACGGCTCGACGGACAGCAAGTCTCCTGCAGGAGTTCAGCTGGGAGGTGTTTAATCATTCACCCTACAGCCCGGACCTCGCTCCCAGTGATTTCCATCTTTTCCTACACCTCAAGAAATTCCTGTCCGGTCAGCGTCAGCGTCAGCGTTTTGAGAATGAAAGAGAGGCGGAGATGGTTGTCACACAGTGGTTCCAATCCCAGGCGGCAGACTTCTACGACACAGGTATTCAAAAGTTGGTCCCACGGTATGACCAATGTCTCAATTCCGGTGGCGAATATGTTGAAAAATAGCTGGACACTTGCTGTATCTGTTGCAATAAATATTTCCATGAAATTGTGTTTTGTTTCTGTAAACGGCCCCAGGGAAACTTACTTTGAGGACGCGCCTCGTATAAGCAAAGTAAGGTGTGAAATAAATATGAAATCATATATTTTCTGAAAAATATACAACTGTTTCACAGAGATTACAGGAAAGTATTATGTTTTCAAAAAAGTTTAAAGTAAGGTGTTATAGAATGACAAGGTCTATCTGGAAGAACTTTAGTATGAAGCATAACTCTGAAAAGTATAAGCTACAAACCATTTTTCACATAAATTTCTTATGTATAAAAACAAAATTATCTTTAATGGAAGAACTCTTAATAAAATTATACAATAGGGTTTAATACTTAATGCAGTAACATTAACTGTAACTGTGTACTGGGAGGGGCTTTTACAAAAAAATTAGTTCAATCTAAACAAATATGCTTATTATTTTAATTACAAAAATATAAAGCTAGCAATGTGAACAAGATGTATTGCATGTTTCGTTACGATGTAGAGAGCTCTGGGCAGCTGCTCCACTGGGGATGGAGGGGGTAGGTGATTAACTGCAGGCCTTCTCCTTGATTATGCCACTGTGATTAAAGTTTAATTCCCTAACAAAGAAAAAAATCAGTCATATTATAACACTTTACCACAAGTGTTGTCATCTTGATAATCTTCTCATGAATATGATGTGGCTGACTGAACTCTAATAATACTGTACACAAATTAAAAGTGTCTTACCGAGCCACCCTAGTGATGGAGGCATTAAGCACCTCTGAAACATCAATAAATTTCTACCACACTACACACTGCAACATCCCAGAAAATAGTCATCTTCATACTTGCCACCATGAGAACCTGAATTGAACTGTCATCAAAAAGTGTTTTCATTCACTCAGATTCAAGTAGTTCCAACACAGAGTGTGAAATTAAAGACATTCATCACTGCACTGCAAATTAAATTCTCTTACCATATGATGACATCTTGGAGAATTCCCTTACCAAATTGGCATATACTCTGGAGCCCAGTCCCTTCCTATCAGTTCTGAAACTTGCTTGCATGCCTTTGTTAAGTCATACTGTGAGTCCTCTACAAGGCATTCCTCTGTGACATAAAGTTCCTTAAGTCTTGGGCCACAGATGTGAGCAAACTTTACAAATGCACTACATGTCACCTCACATTCCCCTAATCCTAGAGATGACAATTCTGGACAGTTGTTTGCAATGTTCAGAAGTTCATCATTGATGAAAGAATTTCCATTTGCTCCTACAACCAATTCCTTTAGTCTAGGACAATGACTACCAATTCGACCTAGCACTCTCTTCGGAACGTGGTCACCAAAGTAGATATGTGTGACAGGAGTGTACGACATAAAAAGTGTATCAAATGACTGATCAGGAATTACAAAAAAGTACATGACAAGGTTCATGTCTGGTGAATGTTCAACAAGGGCACTCCAGCATTGTGGTGAGATCTGTTGTAACAGCATATCCTTTTCTGTGTATACATCAATATGCAAATATTCAAGGCACACATGCTCTTCTGATGACAGGGCAAGAAGTAAGTCATCACTCAACAATGTGTAGCTTAAGGTTAGTTCCCGCAAATGACAACAATGGTCAGCAAGGGACAGGATACCTGTAACATACATAGAAAATTTCATACATGATGAATATTTCATTTCCCTCTGAATGATATGTCTTGCCCATCACAACCCTCTTTGTTTAATCAATCCAAAATTTATTTCTTCCAAGTGATGCCCTATGGACAAAAACTGAATCATATAAGTATAAGCATGTGTTGAAAGAAATCAGAACTCAAATGTCATAACAATGAATTACTTGTTTGTTTCTTAGTTTAGTTCACTTGCTTATGATATATGGTATTAAATGTTAGAATAATTATGAGGGATAACCTGGAAAGAATGTGCAAGTGATCATAGAATGAGACAGACCATGAAAGATCTGTTACTATAGCCTCAATTAATCCTTCAAAGCTGAGTGATAAATATATGTACCACCAGCTTTAACAATTAGTAACATAGCATTCTGTATTTATGTGTTTCATATGATTCTGAATGTAAATGGTAATTATTTCTTTAAACAGCATAACCAGTTGATGTCTGCAATGGTATAGTGTTGCGTTTTCTTTGCAGTAAGGACTGAATTCTTAAATATTATTTAGACAATATTAGGATCAGTAAAGCATACTCTGAAGCTTTCCTGATTTAGTTCTTTGGCAACTTTGCAACAAATAAGTTATTATGTTGAGAAAATGTTGGACCTGTAACACACAAATCCACCTCCATTCAGTATGTGGAAAGTTGCATTTCTATGTCCATAAGGGTGAGACATCTGTACCACTTTATCTGGGGTGAAGAGAGGCTTACCTTCTGGTGACACTCTGGGACAGCTCTTCATTCGAAGTAGCTCTAGTGTTCGAGAGTTGGATGAAGCAAGAACCTCTAGAGACATGTCGTCCACAGGCGTATTATCTATGGCCACTGAACTGAGTGTATGTGAATGATCAAATACAACTGTCAATGCTGAGATGAATGATTGCTGGTCCATGTCGAGGAACACAGGTCTAGCTGAACTGATGAGTGCCAATGTCTTGAGGGAACAGTTCACCAACTAAAGAGACAACACACTGTAAGAACTCCTAACTCCATGGTGCAAGGTCTTTCTTGGAAACCTCATACTTTTTTAGCTGGTCATGAAATTCCCCTTTTATTGAACCTTAAGGTTCATTAGTGTGTTTGAAAAATGTTTTCATTGGATCTTATACTAGACCAGTTGAATCTAGGCCTTGAGAAAAATGGTGCCTTGAATGAACAGTGCACCCCCCCCCCCCACAGAGAATTTTTCAACAATAACAATTTGTATGCTATGTCATCACTCACTGAAACAAATGCATAATATAAATAATTAAAAAATCATAAATAATAACTATAACAAGAACATTGATTATGTAACAAGCCAAATGGGATCAATAGAAGCCAAGCCACATCAAGCTGAGCCACTGACCTCAAAATTATTATTTACAATAAATCTGTAATTAAAATATGATTAAATAATCTAAGACCCAATCAATTAACCATACCTACTTACCATTCCTAATCATCTTCCCATGTCACTGATACTATATAATACCATGCAGTTCAAACAGGATCACTAAATAACACGAATCAATCAATCTTCCCACCTCACTTGATGCTATATAATACCTGCAATTGCTAAACACCCTAAGAAACAATCATTTTCATCTGACACCATGTAAGTTCTTGATTGATTGTGGTTTAGCAACAATGTAAGTAGCTCAGACTACATAGCGTCAAAACAAGTCCTTACCCTAGATAAGATGTAACAGGCCATCTGTGCAGATTCTACTGTGCTGTCCATCTTGAATATAACAAACTTGAGATGTTTTGCATGGTGTTGCAAGATGTAGTTTATCAACCCTTCAGGAGTTGGTTGAAGGTATGATCTATAAAAATCAGAAGACAATGCAAGATCTTACTCCTGCTGCTTTTTCTATTACTCAATAAATGTACCCCACACACATTTCTTAATATTACCTTATTATCATGCATTTGTTGCACAAAAGATGTGAAATGGTAACATATAAGGGAAGCCGTAGTCAACCACATGTTTGGTCATGTTTCATCTCTAAAACTACTTAACAGATTTCAATGAAATTTGGTATTAGGAATCTATACTAAGAGCTGCTGAGTGAATTTAACCCATTTATGTTGGTCTCAGCAAGCCAAACTCTTGCCTGTCATAAACTGCAGACATCAGTATGACTGAATTTATGAGGTATAAATATTTAAAAGGCACCAGCCTGCACAGTAAGGTTCCCTTTAAATGTATTGTATCATCAAAGGGTCAAAATAGTTTGCACTGATAAAATATCCCAATTTAACTTGGTGATAAAACTGAATTTAATTATTTCATAAAACTGGCTCAGCATGTAACAATTTTTACCTGACATAAAATCTATACCTCTTTAAAATGTACAACTTAAATCTGACACATTTTGAATGATAAATACTTAACAAAATGCAAAAAAATATAATTTCTCACTCTGTGCTGTGATATCTGTAGTCATGCAAAAATGTTACACATTTTAACCTTTATTGTATGGGAAGAGGAAATTTAAATCACTATACTATATACGGAGCTGCTGGCTGGACTTGAACTCTAGCATTAACATTGTACGTACTATATAGGCATGCTAGTGTAACACATGGCTAGTTGGACTGCTCATAAGCAGTGATGCAGTCCATAAATATAAACATGAATATGAACAAAAATCATTACACAAACAACAACAAAACATATCTGTACTTTGTTAGCTTACACCTATAGATATGAATCTGCAATAAATGAACATCGAAGTCAGTGAGGTACACAAACTAGCAAAGAACACACTTGGAAAATATGTGTACTCCATTAGAGTACATTGTTTCTACTCTTGTTTCCTAACACTAAATCTAACTCATAGGCACAATGGAAGGTCACATTACTCACACATCTTGAAGTAGTCTTACCCTTATAATCATTAAATAACATTTCTAAACCAGAGATTCCCAGAATAGTAATATGTTCTCTGATTTACCTGGTGGGGCTGAGGAAAACCAAGAACACCCCCGAAAAGTTTTCCACTACCCTGGATAAAACACAGAGCTTCCTGAGTATGAAGCAGAAGTGGTAAAACTATGCCAAAGTTATGGTGAAAGTACTGACTGAAAAGTAGATTTCATAAGTTCCTCCCAGAACTTCTTCAAACTCACTTGGATGCTTGACTTAGATTGAATTCTACTCTCTGCCAGAGCTGTGAGAATTGTGAGATGTGGTTCCAGTGTTGGCAGACCTGAGCAACTGTGCCGAGATCTTGAACTGGCAGGTGGCTGAAGACTTGTAGCAAAGGTTCTGAAGGTAAATTGCTCCATCCTAGTTCACAGTATTGTGACTCCTGTATAAGAAACTCCAGTTAGGTTCAATAAAGCTAACAACTGATGACAATACGTTACTTTGCAATCATTACACCATGGCAGACCATAAGCTTTTACAGAGCTGAGCCAGTGCATTCAACTCTTTTAATACAAGAAATATTTTACACGGAAACAGCCACATGCTGAGTTTTATTCACTGTTTTATGCTAAGAAATGTGACTGAATTAAAACAACTGTAACACTGACATGTTGCCAAACTTTCTACAAAATGTTACTTTATGGCATGCAAGCAGTTAAGAGAATACAGACAAATTAAAAAAGGTTTATTTGTATTACTGGGGCAGATGAGTTAGTAAAGTGACTAGCTATCAGCTAGATGTCCAGGGATTCAGTTTTAGCAAGGGCAATGTTTCTGACTTCAACACGAAGTCCGAACTGGCTATGGTTATTCTATAACTACATTCCCCTATAAACATGATCCTTCTGTTCAAGCACATCTTTACCTTTTTCATTATATTAACTGGTATATCTGAGTTTCACTCATGACAATAGACACTTTAAAGCTAGTTTACTTTGCTTACTTTCACTCTGTAGTGTCATATGGATTAATCTTTTGGGGAAATTCAACAGACAGTAATAAAGTTTTTTACATGCAAAAGAAAATAATTAGAATAATGGCCGGTGTCAAAAGCAGGATATCTTGTAGAAAATTATTTCGTAAATTTAATATACTTCCACTTGCAAGTGAATTTATACTCTGCTTGCTATCATTTGTGGTGGAAAACATGGGTAAATTTAAAATAAATACAGATGTACATAATTTAAATACAAGATGTAAACGTGATCTCTATGTGCCAAATGCTAACTTTACTAAATATCAGAAAGGAGTGTACTATACAGGTATCAAGCTGTTTAATAATCTTCCACCAGCAATTAAAAGTCTAAATTATGATATAAAGGTATTCAAGCCTGCATTGAAAGATTACCTCTTTACTCACTCCTTCTATTCTGTAGATGATTTCATCTCTGCTGAAAATGTTTAAGCTTTATATCCATAATCTACGTATATGTAAAGCAAGTTTTGTATTTATATTTAAAATTCTGAGGTTTATGTATATTAATTTGTAAAATTATTTTTCATACTTGTATTGCAGAATCTGAAATTTATGTACATTGATATGTGAAATACGTTCATGTACTTGTGTTGAAAGTTCTGAAGTGTATGTATATTGTATGAAATGACATGTTCTACATCCTTTGGTTGAGTCCTAAGAAGGATCTATGGAATGTAAATAAACTCTACTCTACTCTACTCTACTCTTCAACATCATACCTTAGACAGGATAGACATGGCTATGGGGAGCTGGCCAAGATTCAAACCACGTACTTCCTGTAAACAAGTCATCACTGGCTTTAAGTACAAACAGGATTGATAGCTTAAGATTTAACATCAAAGCTCATGGATTTTCTTTCTAAAATGTGGTATTCATCTCTGTTTTATCATATATACCTTTCATCATTAGTGTTGAAATATATTAAGAACCGGTATGAATTTTCAAATGATAGTCAAAATACTATACTATGAAGAGGCCTGCTATTATAGCTACCATTATCAGCAGCATTTATTAAAATTTATTATGTAATTTGTATTTCCCAATTTTAAAATAGTTAATGTACTTCAGTACAAAGAGTAACAATACTGTCAGCATGTTTGTCTGTTGTTTCAAACAAATACAATTTATATTTTTACCCATTCGAGAGTCCGTAACATTATTTATATGTATGGGCATAGTTATTATTAGTGCCCGACCTTGGTTTCAGAGTGAAAGGATTCTAATTACTCTTACATCATGCATATATGTGGTTTGTTTGCTTAGCCCTTGCCCAAATATTCATTTCATCGAAAGCTGTGTTCTAATCAGTTGTAAAGGTTGAGCTATACCCCATTAATAAATGTTGTTCGAATAGCATGTACAAATGGTGAATTCGTATTTTCTCTTAAACTTTGTAAAACTGAAGCAGAACAGAAATATTGGTATAAAAGACTAGATCGACTTTCACAAGGTCGTGAAAGGCGGAATGCAACACGTGTCACGTGTCTCTTAGGAATTCACGTGAGCTGGCATTTCGTTTGGGCTACCTGAAATAACCACGAATGGACTAGGAAACACTGAACTATAACTGAATGATTTGAAGACGAGTCAAGACGGAAACTTGGAGTACTCGCATTTTCAAAACGCATTCTTGGCCATTTTAAAGTTCCGAACGATCAGGATTTGATTCACGGCAGGAGCAGTGACCTCTCTTTCCTTCATCACGTCTAGAACTCTGGGGTCCACCAAGTTTCCCGCCGAATGAGCACAGAAGGACCTTTCCACGGACTTAAAGCGGCCAGAGCGTGAAGCCCTCCTCTCACTTCCACTTATGCCGAATTCTACGGTGCGCGGTCCTTTGTTTCCAC